CACGTTACGGGTCACGAGGCAATGTCTTGAGTCTGCGCAGGTGGCTTGCTCCGCTCTGCAGTAGAGGGAGAGCTGCGGTAGAGCTGCTGCTGCAGCAGCAGCAGCAGCAGCAGTTGAGCTATGGCTAGGCGTCACGAAGGCTTAAGGCTCCTAGAGGGCAGCAGCAACGGCAGGTGATACTTCCCTTTGCTGCAGCAGCAAGAGAGACAGACAGGCATGTATGGCGCACTGTACTGATTGACCAGAGAGGAGAGTAGCAGCAGCAGCAGCAGCAGCAGCACCCTCGCAGTGCACGTCGGCCCTAGAGGCCTTTTGCTGCGTTCGCGCCTGCGTCTCTTGGTGGTTTGTGTCTCTTATTCGCTACGGATACGAGCAGCAACAGCTGAAGCAGCAGCAGCAGCAGCAGCAGAAACGGCGCCGCGGCTGTCTGTCGAGAGCGACTTTCCTCGCTGCACTTCTCACGCCGACACGCAGCAGCTGCAGCAGCAGCAGCAGCTGCAGCAACAGCAAGTGCATTGGCAGGGCCTGACACTGCTGTAAGCTAAGAGCTCTTCTGTGTGGCGTCTTCGCCCCTTCGGTGTTCCGTTGGTTTGCTGCTGCTGCTGTCTGCGGGAGGTTTCGTGTCATTTGCTGCAGCACGAGAAGGGAGGAAGCTGTTTGCTGCAGCAGCAGCAGCAGCAGCAAAAGCTGCGGCGGCAGTCGCCGGGTGTATGTACACACCGTGTCACGCTGAGCACTGTATGGATCGAGGCTACACAAGAGCAGCAGCAGCAGCTGCAGCACGGCAACGGTGGCAGCAGCTGCCGCAGCAGCAGCTGCAGCAGCGAGTGGCGCGTTTGAGGTGTATGTACAGCAGGCGAGAGCTGAGAGAGGATAGATTTTATTACTGAGGGAAAAGGCCAGCTGTAACGCGTATTCGCGAGGGCAGCAGCAGCAGCAGCAGCAGCAGTTGTTGCAGTGGCTAGGGGTATTACGGTATACCTGTGTTGCTGTTACGCTATCTAGGGCCCCTCTCTTGAGAGATTTCTTTTTCTTTTGCTGCTGGACTTTTCTTCTTTTGCCCAGCAGCAGCAGCAGCTGCAACGGCAGCAGCTGCTGCTGCTGCTGCTGGCGTTTGCTTTTCTTTTGGTGACCGCAGGGCGCTCAGGCGGCGGTGCCTCTGTGTGCAGCAGCAGCAGCTGCTGCTGCTGCTGCTGCTCTTCGGTTGTTCTTGTTCTTTTTTATCCGCAGCAGTGCCCGGTGGGGCTGCTGCTGCTGTCGGCGCAGCAGCAGCGCCAGCAGCTGCTGCTGCTGCAGTGGTTTGTCTTTGTTGCTATCTGGAGGCTTCGCTGGCGGAAGGAGATGAGGAAAAGTAGAAAGCTGCTGGAGGCGTTTTGCTGTTTGCTGCAGTTGGTGGCGGTGTCCGTGTCGGTTTCGTGCTGCTGCTGCTGCTGCTGCTGTGTTGTGTGCTGCTTGCCTGTGCGTTGTGCTGCAGCTGTTTGCTTCTTGGGGTGTCTGTGGTGTGCTGTGTGGCTTCTCGTGGCTGCTGCTGTGTCTGTTGCTTCTCGGTGTGCTGCTGCTGCTGCAGCAGCAGCAGCAGCGCAGCACTCGCGGCTGGAGGAAAGGCTTTCAAGCAAGGAGCGGCGCTTTTGGGGTTTTTGGCTTTTTTCGGTTGGCTCTTCTGTGGATCTTTATCATTATTTATTTTATTTAAATTCATTTTTATTATTTGGGTTTTTCGGCACAAGTTGCTGCTTCCGCGAGGCCAATCCGCGCTGCACTGCAGCAGCAGCAGCAGCAGCAGCGGCGCTGCAGCTGTTCGTCCGCACTGCGGCCGGGGCGCGCCCCCTCTCGTGTCTTTGCTGCTGCTGTGTCCTGTTGCTGTGCAGAGAGCAGCAGGCAAGCAGCAAGAACAGCAGCAGCAGCAGCAGGTTCTTGGCACGCGGCTCGTGGCTGCAGCAGGGCAGCAGCAGCAGCACAGGTGTGCTGCTGCTGCTGGGGAGGCAGCAGCAAAGCAGGCGTCTCGATGCAGCAAGGGTTCTTGTGTATCGACACTAAGACAGGGTTTTAACCTGATGGTGGTGCTTGCTGCAGCAGCAGCAGCAGGAGCAGCAGCAGAGCTGACGCTGTATAGCGCTCTGTGCTTCTGCTGCAGCAGCAGCAGCAAAGCCTCTCCCGCCCAGGTGTGCGTACTGCCGCATCTGGCTGTGCCTGGAGGAGAGGAGGCGGGGTTTGCTGCTGCTGCTTTCCTGCTGCTCTCTGCTGCTTCGTGCTGCTCGCTGCTGCTGCTGCTGCAGCGGCCCGGGCCCGCGGCGCGGCCGCGGGGCGGGCGCCGCAGCCGGCGGCGGCGGCGGGCGCG